TGTAGCTGTAAAAATAGTTGCCTGCTGAAATTGAAATGTATATACATCTTCATCATGACTAGATAGACACGGTGAGTTTGTCTTTACTATAAAGTTAGATGTGATCCACCTCATAGTAACAAACCTGTCAGATCGTCCATCCTGTGAGTGAGAGTGTAACGTTACTGGTCGGCCGATCTGGTTTTGTGGTTAAAGTTAAACTTTTCGACATGTTTCCGCAATGTTGTCTGGGGGTTTGGCAAAAGGAGAGTGGGATGGTGGGTGGTGCTGGGGGTGGTGACTGAAGGCAGTGATTGTGTAGTTCTGACGTCAACTTTTTACGGAAGTCACAACGGTTCGTGAAAAATCACAGCTACTTTCGGCAGGCTGTGTGAATTTTACTGTGGACTGACTGTTTTGAAACTTATATGGTAGTTACATAGCACCTAGACCTCAGTTATCATGAAAAAAGCCAGGAAATTACTGTTTTGACAATATGGGACCTTTAAGGAAAGCCTCAATGGTTAGCAAAAAAGAGCATAACTCTGCAAAAGGGACCAGATGGCACTTTTTTAATGGATGTCAAAGTTGGAGAGGTTTCACTAAGCAACCTGCTTTTGTAGGAAAACAGCTTATCGGTTAATGAATCGACAACCTATTGGCTAATCTTCAACATGTTTACCATTAAACATTGATTTTGTATTGCTCTAATTTTGGAGTATACACCAAATGCTGTTTTCTAAAAGCAGCCACTGACTATTTTGCAACAGGTAGCATTCAGTTAACAGCACTTCTCATTCATTTCCATGGTCTCCGCAAACAGTGACTGACTGTCGCGCAACTCAGAATACAGAAATTCTATAAAGGCTGTGATGTGATGTGATTGTTATTAAGGCACACATGATCCAAGTTGGCCTTTGCGCTTTCTCCAATGATAAAGTCATGAAACTTGCTTGGTATCTCCCAATAATAAGACCATCTCTGGTATCATTATATTTCTATGGTGGGATTTCTTAAAGTCCCCCTGTGGTGAAAATCAAGTTTTTTTATGTTGTTTATTTGTTTATGTGTTCTTTTTAATATGCTTTTAGACAAACCATGTGCCAATCTATTTATCAACACCATTGCTGAGTATTTTCTCCTTAAAACTGTAGTTTCCCAAAGGCAGTCACAGAAATACGGTTTGAAACAGCCTTTGTTTTGCTACGTCACAAAACTCAATAACCAATCGCGTCAAGAGATCCTATCCTTAGCATATCATTAACTGTGCTGCAAAGCAGAGGGTCTAGTGAGAAGGCAGCCAGGTTAATCCGGTAACAGTTATATTTTTTCTGTAGATGTTTCGCCAACTGTTAATATTTCCCCCTATTTTCACGATGTCATGTGCTGTTAGTGCTTATTTATTTGCATTTAGAACCGCTAACTTGAATAATAACCCGCGGCAGCAGTGTAAAAGTAGCCCTCTCCCGCATTGACATCCGCACGTCACACCGTATGATCGCGGGCACAATTTGGAATCACAAACTTGGCTGCATTTGAGACTTCAAGGAATTTTGAGGACTGGCTCATGCTGGCTCATGTGCGACTAAGTGGAGGCGGGGCTAATTTGCATATTCATAGATCCGCGTATAGGCATGAGAAAATTATTTTCACAAGAGTTTTTTTTTTTAAATGTCATTTCTATGATCAAAGATGAGTTTTAAAGGATACAATTTTTGACTACAGGGGGACTTTAACAACTCCGTTCCATTGGCTATGCATATTCCCAAGGATGACAGAAATACCTTTTATTCATAAAGACTGTCTCTCAGTGATAAATATTCCCAGCAATGGCTAAACTTATTTAATGTCATTTTCTTGGTAAAGCTGCTACTCACCACAAGAATAGCAAAGTATGTGAGATGATTACAGAAACATTCTGTCTCTGTGTCGTGGATTTTAACAGTCTCACAGCCGTCATATCTCCAGGTCACTTCATTATCTGCAGAGACACATTAACAGAACAGTCAGTAATTGTGCTTCAGCTAGCATCGAAACATTTGCTTGATGTCTAACACTGTATTGATGTGTCTATGAACATGAAGACTTGAGCGCACCTCGTCTTGCGTCCCATGAAACACAACTTCTAGAATGGTTAGGCTGTGAAATTAAATAGAAGAGGTTAGGAAAAATGCATCTATAATCGGTTCAAAGAGAGTGGCTCAGCACATACAGTACAGAGATTTATCATTGCTATTCTGTATGAGTAAATGAGGCCCTTGCGATTTAAATTCCATAAAAGTAGCCCTCTCCCGCATTGACATCCGCACGTCACACCGTATGATCGCGGGCACAATTTGGAATCACAAACTTGGCTGCATTTGAGACTTCAAGGAATTTTGAGGACTGGCTCATGCTGGCTCATGTGCGACTGAGTGGAGGCGGGGCTAATTTGCATATTCATAGATCCGCATATAGGCATGAGAAAATTATTTTTTTATTTAAGAGTTTTTTTTTTTAAATGTCATTTCTATGATCAAAGATGAGTTTTAAAGGATACAATTTTTGACTACAGGGGGACTTTAACAACTCCGTTCCATTGGCTATGCATATTCCCAAGGATGACAGAAATACCTTTTATTCATAAAGACTGTCTCTCAGTGATAAATATTCCCAGCAATGGCTAAACTTATTTAATGTCATTTTCTTGGTAAAGCTGCTACTCACCACAAGAATAGCAAAGTATGTGAGATGATTACAGCAACATTCTGTCTCTGTGTCGTGGATTTTAACAGTCTCACAGCCGTCATATCTCCAGGTCACTTCATTATCTGCAGAGACACATTAACAGAACAGTCAGTAATTGTGCTTCAGCTAGCATCGAAACATTTGCTTGATGTCTAACACTGTATTGATGTGTCTATGAACATGAAGACTTGAGCGCACCTCGTCTTGCGTCCCATGAAACACAACTTCTAGAATGGTTAGGCTGTGAAATTAAATAGAAGAGGTTAGGAAAAATGCATCTATAATCGGTTCAAAGAGAGTGGCTCAGCACATACAGTACAGAGATTTATCATTGCTATTCTGTATGAGTAAATGAGGCCCTTGCGATTTAAATTCCAAAAACAACATCAGCAGTTTGATTTTTATCCGGCTTCACCTCACCAGCCTTGTCATGTGGTTTTCAGTGTTAAGGAAATGGCATATATTTAGTCTACTCAGTAAGAAATGATGTCAGCTATACTTGGTGTTAAGCTTATAAATAGCCTTTTAAAATCACAACAAATATGAAAAAAACAAAACATGCTCAAAAAGACGTACTGGGAGAGCAGAGTGATGAAAGCTGATTCTGACAGGTTCTGGGAGGTTTTTGATGATCTCGTTCTCCACAGAGAGTCCAACTATACCACCCAGAAGATCTGCATCAGACGATCCCCTCTACACAACACATATACTGTTATGTCATACTGTACATTGCTATATATGTTGGTTGGCTAATGTAAGCTAAATAATCCACATGATTTATCTCTGCTTGACAAATATTGTCATACCTGGAACAAGGTCTTGTTTTGGTAGTAAGTACACACCACTTTGGATGTGCTCCTTGATTGGGATTTCAGACAGGAGGGAAGATAAACGGAGGGTATCATGTTTGGTGCTACAATTCGAGGAGCCTGGAATACAACATATATATGTATTCATATGCTAGAAAGAGAGCTTCCTGTGACTCAAAGGTTATTTGAACTTTGTGCTTCTAAAAGGTCAATGTTATTTACTGGCAGAGTGAAATTGAGTCCTGTGAAACCCTCTTCCATCTCAATGATTCTGCTCTGAGCACAAGGTAGATCCACACGACCTATTTTATTGGATTTCATCACTGCTTCCTCTATCCTGCAAACACACAAACACATGCATTTAGACATGATCACATGCATAAAAGTTCAAAAGTTCTTATAAAAAGTTATTCTTACACTTTCACACAAGATCAAATATTTTTTAAATGTATAAGGAATACTTTCTAATATTTATATATTTAATGCACTGTCTGACTAGCTGACCAGGTTTTACATTTCACTGCAAGTTGTATTCTATATATATAACTGTGTATGTGACAAATACAAAACTTAAAATCCTGAAGACTTCTTTCTACTTCAGAAATGAATGTGCAAATGCATATGTCATGTAAGATTACACGTCAGATTCATATAAACTACAGTAAAAACACAAATTGCGCCAATGCCACAATACCACTACCTTTTTGATTCGAAGAAAAAATGCTTATTTATAGTATTTTGGAGGGTGTGTATCCATTATGGTTATAATAAAAACCACAGTAAACACTTCTTTTGTAACCACACAATATACTACCCACCCATTTCTGCATTAAGTAGCTTATGCATAAAATTATTAAGATGTCTTAACATATCAAATGAACATGCACAATAAATGGGGGGTATATACAATAAATAAAATGTTGAAGATGTGTAATGTATTAAAAATCCAACAATACACTTGGCAGTCCATGCATAAAAAGTGAGCATAAGTTAGTAAGCCTTTGTAGTCATGGGTTCAGTTTCCTGTTTGCGGCTCAACCTCTGCTTTTCACTCATACTTAAGCTTGTCCTGACTGTACTCTTATAGGCATGCACATCACCTTTTGCTATCTGCATGATAGACCACATCAGTTCACAAGACTCTACCAAAGTAATAGTGAAACTACCAAACTAAAATAAAATGATGATTGACTCACATGTTTGCTCCACTGTGCTTCTGACTTGCCTCATCACAGAATTTCTCCTCTGTAAGTGGGGAAACAGAAGAAATATATCGAAACTAAAACTACTTACATGCTCAGAAATGTTAAACTCACAAGTGAGCTCAGTCAGTGTAACTTTTTGATCTGTAGTAGGTCAAAAATTCTACAAATTTTAAGACAACAAATTTTACATATTGAAGTTTCTTACTGCAGTTGATTGAATCTCCTCGAAATATATATACTTCCATGACACCATATCTGATGATATCACCGTGGGTGCTGCCATTCACAATACCATATAGAGCAGCAGTTTTGAGGTTCCCTTGTGAGAGGTCAGTGCAGCAGGTTCCTTGAAGGCCATGTGATTCACACAGAGTGTGATTCTTTCCATTCACCTGCACTATCAGCAGGTCCAGCAGCGGCTCCCAGAACACACAGAAATGACTTTGATTTTGAAGAGGGTTTGATTTTAGAGGAATGGATGAAGATCGTGTGCACTTGGCTGTGATGCTGCCCTGAATTGAGAGTGTACTCTCATTGGCTGAAATCTCAATTTCCTTACAGCCTGTTTTCAAATCATATTTCAGATTTTGGGATGCGTTGCCATGGCGCCATGTTCCACACATCTTAAAGTCTCTGTCATTCTCCATTGCTGAACAAAGTATAGTAAAAATAAATAACTAAATAAATACATGTTAAAGGGGTCATTTGATGCGATTTCAAGTTTTCCTTTCTCTTTGGAGTGTTACAAGCTGATTGTGCATAGATAAGATCCCTGAAGTTGCAAAGACTAAAGTCTCAAAACCAAAGAGATGTTCTTTATCAAAGTTAAGACTTTGCCACGCCCCCCTAAAACGGCTCATTCTAACACGCCCCCACATATCTACCTCACTATGTGGAAATATTTGCATAATGCGGCCCAAATGTGCACGCAAAGAAAGAAGGCGTGGTTTCAGTAACCGCAGTTAGTGTTGAAGCAGCCATGTCAGGGAGACGCTGTGTGTTTCTAGGCGAAAGCAAAAGCACTTTATTTAAACTTTGTTGATTTAAGAATTCTAAAGATATTTTTAACAAACTATCCAAACTATCACGTTTTTGCAGTTGTCAGGTATGCATTTTCATTATAAAAATAGATTCATTAAACAAGATACTAATAACAATGGGCAGCTAGTACATTTCGCTTCATCAGTAATACCCTGATGAACCTTACCTTGACCCAAAATGAACAAAAGGCAGGTAATTATCCACATTCTTACAGACTTTAGATTCTGCTCCATTGTAGCTCATAGATGATGCCTTAAAAGCAAGAGAGAACTCAGTTAAAGAGAAATTTAAAAATATACACAATGACATGCCTTAGTAGAGCCATGCAACAGCACCCAGGCTACCTTTGTGTTAAAACACTTTCAGAAATGTCTCACACATATTCCTGACACTGTATGCAATAAGCAGTTTAACAGATGTGTTGCAGATTTTGTCAAAATGTTTGTATTTTGTCAACTCAGTCTGGTGAAAGGAAGTATGTATGTGCACATTTGCTGTTTAGATATTGTCATTGCTCTGTATACACAGTTACATTGCTCTACATTGTTTTAACAACACAGCAGTTATTTTATGTTAGTATCTCTTTTATCTCACCTATCTCTCTTACACTTCATGTTATGCACACATTGCTCAATTTCATAGTAGTTTTGTAGTTCAAGAACTCATCTCATTATAGTAGCAGCAGTGGTAAAGCACATTAAGTAGTTTCATCTTCAGACCAAATCGAGTAGCTGCAGGTGTTGTGTTTGCATAATGCTTGCCACAACAGGTTGACGCATGTTTGTGCTCGAAGTCGGTAAATGCAGGAAAGCCACAGTGGTGTCTGATCTTAACAGTGTGCTATATTCTCCTACAGTTTCATTTCAACTAGTTTGGCTCATATCTCTGACAGATGTAAAGGTCAACACGCAGAAAAGCGAAACGGCAGATCTGCGCTATATAGGTAAGAACTAATTAAAGTGTTGAAGCACTTGACCCTGTGTTACCCACAGGCATAAACTTATTTGTGAAATTGCCGTACTGCACTGATTAAAGAAATAGTTTCACCAAAAATGAAAATTCGCTGAAAATGTACTTCAAGATGAGTTTGTTTCTTCATCGGAACAGATCGGGAGAAATTTAGCATTATGTCACTTGCTCACAAATTAATCCTCTGCAGTGAATGGGTGCCATCAGAACGAGAGTCCAAACAGCGGATAAAAACATCCCAATAATCCAAAAGCAATCCACAGGGCTCCAGTCTATCAACTAACATCGCGTGAAGTGAAAAGCTGCATGTGTGTAAGAAAATATCACAGTTTTCTGGTGTCTGCATATCTGTCACCAAAGTGAGAAAAAAACATCAGCTTTTAACACTCAAATTTGCAGAAGTGACTTGGGGATCTGTTGTGTGCTTCAATGACCCGTGCTGACTCACGTTAGAAAACATGCCATTCAATGTCTGACTCATCCACTGTCACTGGCTGGGTGTTTTAACACATTGGGACTGACAGTGTATTATGATTAATTTTATAGTAGATCTGAGACATGCTCTTTGTCTTGAGCGTGAGAAGTGTATTGCTACATAAAACAAAACAAAGTTTGTGACAAAGATGGCATCATATCTGTGTGCTGCACTGAATATGTGCATTTGCATTATCATCTTAGTCCCTTTGTTGCAAAATAAAGTCTGTTCTCATGGATAAGAGATGGCAGTTGCAGCCTAGCATGCATCAGAATGTATATTTACCGTTGCATGTATGTGTTCTCATTCATAAGGGCCCAGGAATATATGTTTTACTAGATGGCTGCTTCTTTATCACAAGCATAGTGAGAGATGGAAAGGAAGGTTTTTGTTTTACAGATAAGGATGTGTCTTTTACTAACATGAGGTGGTAAGAGGAAGGAACAGACAAGATATTGATAACTTGATTTCCTATTCTAACACTGTAGCAACACATATTCTTGGGTTTAAAGGAAGTTCCCTATTTCTAAAGGAAATGTTAATATGCAATTTAGACATATTGGACACTATGCCCAGTTTTGACAGGGGATTCCTTTTCAAAATGAAAAAAAAAGAAAAGAAATCAAAACAAACTAAAACCTTATAACGAAAACAACCGACACCACAACAGTTGGCATCTTCTTGCCTTGTGGTTATTCATTTGGTTTCATAGTTTTTCCACCCACACTGGTCACCGGATACTACCAGGCCCCAACAACATGTTCTTAAAATACAGATGAGCAAACTACTTGGATGCAAACTATTAATCAATCATACTTTTTTTCAAACATATCCAATGCAGTTCATTGTGTTTTACAAGCAAAAACCAAAAATGGAAAAAATACAAGCAATGAAAATAAGACAAATATATAACAAAATATTAAAATGTTAAAATGGAAAATCCCAAATGTACATAGCTGATAAGAAAGAGAAAAAACTAAGAAGAAATACAATTATTTCAAAGAAAAACCATAAAATCTGAGCTGCTAAACAGAAAATTCTGGGAATGTCACTTGACATTTTTTCCACTGTAAATGATAAGATAACTTGTTCTTTTTCACTTCCACAAATTGCACATTTAACAGTATTTTACAGTATTTTTTCAAATCACATGAAATGTCCACTTAGATTGTGTCTTCAAAAATTATGGTAATTTTTTACAGAATATGTTTATGCTGTACTTCACTGAAATGGGAAACAAAAAAAATAGAAATTGTGTCTTTGTCCAAACATGTTAACAGTGCATGTATAAAGATGATGGCTAAATGGGGTTATAACAGAGCAGGCTACTGACTACCACTGAGAGTACCCAGTTCCTCCATGCTATGTTTGAGAAGGGTGCGTCTATGCCCCCGCCCTTTCTGGCCCTCTCTCCCTCTGCCATTGTTCCAGCTATGTGGACCTCACAGCAGTCAAAGAATGTCCCTTTTCTCTCCAAGCACCACTGAAAGGAAGCTGGTGAAGTCCATTTATTCAAAGGAGGAGCGTTGCCAGTTTTAAACTGTGCACATAAAGGAATTTTTGCTCAAATTCATAACATTTTCTCGCCCTTACTATGTTATTTCCCACTCTACAGCCATTAAAAACAAACCTCACACAATCATATATAACACTTCCTCTTTTAATTATAATGACTGTGTGGAAAATTGAGTTGCAAACTCATGAGCCTCCGCTCCTGCTACCGAATTTCTTCTTGTGCTGATAAAATCTAAACATGAGATTCAACATGTTTTGAAGTCCTACCTAAGCCTCAAGAGAGACAAACCACAGAAGACTTGCATTTCTAGAGCATTTCCATGACCAGTGTTGTGTCTATAAAAGCTAACAACCTGCACAGAACAAGAATGTGAACTTTGAGATGAACTAGGTCAATCTATTGTGCTTTTCCTTTGTGACATCACTGCCAGACAAAAAAGCGAGAGGCCTTTCAGCTCGCTTCATTCTGAGCTGAACTGAACTGACAAGTAGCAGGGACTGAGGGCAAAGGTCTTTTCAACAATTCAGTGGTGACCACATTGAAGCTAAGTTGCATTACAGCAAAAAAACTCGTTGACGTTTAGTTGCACAGATCAACCACCGTGGTTCAGACAGGAAAACCAACATTACAAGACATGAAGAGAAGTTAAAACATGTCTGACTGCAATTTAATAAGCATTAAAACACTCATTTGTGGTTATAATTGGTGGTTGTATGCTTAATAGCCACCAGTTCTTTAAGAAAGTGCCTTATAATTCTAAAGTCAGTTTGCATTTGCATTGTGCCCTCTAATATGCAAAAATAAAGCATATGTCAGTAGTAGGCAAAGGCTCAATCTTCTCAGTCCTTTCCATTGAGGTGGACTGACTGGGGGGGGGGGGGGGG